GAACAGAGCCTCTGATTAAGAACAGGGCTGCCTGCACTGACGCGGCTCAGGGATTACGTCACACGCAGCGTCGAAAAAATCAGGACATTTCCTCACTTTCTAAAAAAAACCCGGGACGCCCGGGACAGGACATGAAATACGGATATGTCCCGGGAAATACGGACGTTTGGTCACCCTAGCTCATGGCGAGGTTGAGATGTAATCCTAGGCACCACCACAATTTATATCAGGAAAAGGCAGGTACAAAACTACAAAGCAACAAAAGAAATACATTAATTTTACTTTTCTGTAGCCTATCTTTACTGTCCAAACATTAGCTTCACTAAAATGTTTTCACTGACATGCAAACACACACAAATATTCAACGAAAAAGATCTCTGTAGATAAAAACAAATACAAACTCTCTGTTACGATATTGCCCATCAGAGACTTTTTCTCCTGTAAGGACAGAGTTGAGCCACTGGAAGTCCCTCAAACCTTCAGGAATCAGGACATACTTTATACCCTGTCAGAAAGAAGAGCAAGACAAACTTGTTTTACAGTTTATGGGAAGTACACGCAATAGTGCACATATTTGTGCTTTTATACCTCATCATGCGGAGCTGCCTTGTATCCAAACTTGCCATAAAAAATAGGGGCTGATGTTATTGAGTGGGCCGTGTGAACATACACTGATGTTCTGCTCCCGACATCTTCCTCAAAACCATTGGTCACTGCAGCATTCATCCTGTCACACAAATTAAATAAAGACTTTCAGCTGTTGACCTGCAGTTAAGTTGCTTACTACAGCAGTTTTAAAATATTGTTAGATGGTCACAACCTGAAATATCTGGAAAAACTGACAAATACTAGGATTTGACTGATAAAATGAGAACCTGAAGAAGTGGTTAAAGAAAGAAAATCATCAGACTTTCATTTTCCAGAAAAATCTTTTTCCAATAACACTTTGTTTATAATATGTCATTTTGAGAAATAATAAAACAAAAGATGCTAAATAAACAGGTTTAAAATGTTTTATTGTGAAATCTAAAACTAACAAAAGCTTCTTTCGTTTTTAGATCAAATTAAACATTACCTATTTTAATGCAGCGATGGTTATTTTTAAAATAGAAACAACTTAAAAATTTTGAAACATTGGTTAAGTAGTTAAGTTTAGCCTATTTTGCAAGCAACCTTAATAAACCTCCTCTTACCTTTTTAGTGATTCCAAAGAACAAAATAAAGCATAAAAAACGGCAGCGAGCCAAAAGACTTTCAAACTTTCCAAGGCGACCTTTGAACTAATTTACAAGATGAATAAAGTTACAATCAAAGGTGGTCCGGTCACTAATAAAGGAAGGCCTTTTTATCATGACACGTTCTCATGGTTAAAAACACCACATATGCCAACATGTGCTGAAAATAAGGATCACTTGTTCCCTTTTTTTCCAATGGGAAATAATAACCATAAGAGAAGCACAGAAGGTTAATGGTTACAGATTTCACAAGCCATATAGTTAAACTTTAATAATGCTAATATTTACATTTGTTGTTTTTTTTATTGCATAGCTTTACTAAATCAGATTAAAGTACGCCTTTTCTATTAGGTGCTTTGTAATAAAGTACTTATACCACCCTTGAGCCTGAATTACATAAATGGAATATGAAGTTCTAAAGGTACTCAGAGCTATGACTGTGCTCATACTGCTATAAGGACACCACCTGTTAATGAATCAGCATATAAAAACTGAACATACTTTTATTTAATGAGTGTCCTCTCACAGTATTTGTGATGTGCAAAGGTGTGACAGAACAGACTTCAAGCCGACTCTTTCCGCAACGACACGGTGTCTCTCCCCTCCCCGTTCAGGACCTAGAAGCTACACCAACCCACATCTCCAGACCTCCTGTGTTACATTAACGCACAGCCTACCCTCTATATAGTATAAAGCTATATTTTATATATTCTATATAGTATATTGTATGTTTTATATTGTATATAGCTATAGATTCTGAATTCTAGATATATACCTAATTTGTCTGCACCATCAACACCAAGTCAAATTCTTCCTAAGTGCAAACGTATTTCAATCTGAAAAACTCACACAGAGAGAAAAGATAATTAGAAGAATTTATTGATAAGAAAGTATAGTCTTTGGCGCTCAGACCTGGGCAGGAACATTCATGCTGAATTATGCTTTAACATGCATGAGTAGATGAATGAGAATAGGGATGTTCCCCCCGGCCTGAAACTGGTGATGGTTTGATCCGAGCTGGTTGACAAGGTGATCTGCTGGGCAGAATTGTGGGACTAGAAGACTGAGGGAGCTGACGCCGGGGCTTCACTCAGACTCGGGATATAGAGGTCCTGCTCGGTGATGCAGGTACCGTGAACTGTCCATGATGAGTAAGCATGAAGCGACAGTGGAGAGGAAAAACTCCCCTTTGGGAAGAAACCTCTGGCAGAACCGGGCTCAACATGGTGGTCTTCTGCCGGACCAATGCGATGAGACGAGGGATGGTGACAACTGGGATTAATACTCTCTGATGAGGTTGAGGTGAAGTCGTGTCATGAAGGACGATTCAGCTGCGATGGCGGAGAAGGGGATGGAGGTGGGTAAATTGTCGTCTTAATCGAAATCCGACATTGCGATTGCAGGATAGCGGCTGGGATGAGATTTGAAAGGAGTTTATAAAGTGGAAGCAGGACGCTGATTGGGCTTCGTGGTGGAGTAGTTCGAAGCTGATTGGCTCGCTTCGGAGACGGATCAGCTCCTGATTGATGGAGGTAAGCCAGAGTTTCTTCAATTGAACTTCCGCTAGAGCTTCATTTGGCAATAAATCTAATTATGAAATTTCTGAATTTTCTTTTTTTTTTTTTTTACATCTCTAATCTTTTTAAATGTTAGTTATGTTTTAAATAGTGTCTGCGTAAAATGTACCTAATATGAGGGGTATAGTTACATGAAATATAATAATTTACAGAATTTTACATTTAACCAGTTAAATTTCCTTTAGAGAAATAGTACTTTTAGGAGTAGCTTTGCTTTACAATAATTCTACTTTTACTCAAATGATATCAGTGTGTGAGCAACACAACGCTTACATAAGTAAAATTTATATTTACTCTGTCCACCACAAGTAACCAGGTATTCAAGATCAGGTAAAAATACCATAGGCGATAAATATTGTTGATGGAAGTTCTTTATCCTTTCCTGATATAATCTTTAACCTACAGACAGGATTTCTTTTAGAGTTATAATGAAAATTATCATTTAGAAAACTTTTTATTCTTCTCTGGATTAGTGATTTTGTATGGAAGCCGAGAGCGGTCGTAATTCTTTGTCTTCTAGAGATAATGACATAACTCTCTCATTATAATTAAGAAAACTCCACTAGCCGCCACTGATTTGAGTGATTATTTTACCAAGTCCCTTTTACTCTTGATTCATTTCTTGCATGATTAGTTTCTACTTTTACTTGAGTAAAAAAATGTTAAGGTAGTGCTACTATTACCTGTGTATTTTTTGGGGTACTTTTTTTGGTGTAAATTACAAAAAAAAAAAACACAGAGAGACATTTTCTATTTTTTGTCTTTTACTTTATTACCACAAAATGCTGATGTCAGTGAAGAAGTTGTTGGTCAACTGTAACGAATATCCCTGAGGTGTCTTTACAAAGTCTCTCTGTGATTGCCTGACAGCACTGATTGTTGCCATGGTTATTTGGACTTGCAGTGGCTCCCTCCGCGGTATCTTTACTCATTAAATGTTTATAGGTTGAGCCGGTCAAAATACGTGTACTGTGTCATTTTGTCAATCTGTGTACCTGAGTTTCGATAATCTGAATTCTGTTGTGTGCCCTTTCTGAATTTCGCCCTACCAAACATTTTAGCATGTAATTGTGCAGCCCTTTCTACCTTGGGCCCCAGGTTTTCGTTTTTTTGATGTTTGTTTAGTATTACCTTGTTGTTAACTTATGTTTAACTAGGTTTTGCCAAATTCATTTGTTCGTTTTTTAGTTTATTTTCATGTTCTGTTCTTTCTATTACTGGATTTTTTATTTTTATTTTTTAGATTTCTGGTTATCTCTTCATCTTTATTTATCACTTCTTTTTGTTACAGCTCTGCAAATTTTCCATATATTTAATTACTGTTCTGGTTTGATAGTAATTTCCACACCTTTGCCGCTGTGTTTAAGCTCCCAGGTTTTCATTTCTCTTTGTTTAATTCCTCTGTATGCTTTCCTATTTGCTCTTTTGTTGTGTATTTTGTCATATTTGTTCATTACTTTGTGTTTAGCTTCTGATGTTTATCTTATGTTCATGATAAACTTGAAGCTCCTTTGTGTTTGAGTTACGCTTCCCTCTGTGTTGACTGTGTAATGAGTCTCTTTCCCATAGCCTTGATGCTAGCACTCTCCAAAAGCTGTGCTCTAGTCAAATGATTAGTTTTCATGTCACTGATAAAATCTTCTCTGCATAGAAACTCCCTTGTGTTATTTGTTCTTTGATACAGTACATGCTTGTGCTACGGTCCTCTGCCTTCCATGTCCTGCTCTCCTGATATAAAAACCTGTATGCTCTGCCAATTTGCATTTGGGCCCTCGTTCAAACAACACAACTTAACATCCACAATTCCACCCCTGACCTGTCTGTTGTGTTTAGACTGTGATAATTGGATGAGTTAAGAAGCCATTTTTTTTTTTTACACAGGATTAGATTTATGCAGAGTAAAGGTTGTTGCAAGTGACTCAATGCTACATGTAAAATTTTGTTATAAACTTCATAGCTATCAATTGTCAACTTTGTTGTGGTTATCACATCTAAGACACAATAAAGATTGTGGTTGTAAAGTGATAACCTGGGGAACTTTAGCGGGTATAAACAATTTGGTATCTTTTGTTGGTAGGCACTAAATTTCAACAACCTGTTTCATCAACTCATTTTGACAAACTTGTGATTTGTGGGTTTTCCAACTGCCACAAAGCTGCTCAACTATGTCAACCGACAGGTTTAGGCGCTGTTATTTTCCTACCTTAAATTAGGATGTATATCTACGAAACTGTAATTAAGACTTCTTCAACCGTGAACACACCTCTCATTGTCAAAAGAATTTTAGAGAATAGTTAAAGTTGATATTGCATCAACAAGTTGGACCTTACAATTTAACAACAGGATGCCATCAAAGTTTGTGCAAATGTAAAACACAGCAATATTGTTTATTTGTCCTTAATATGCTGACAAAAAATATATTATCAGTAAAATCTTAACTGCCTGGATGCCTTTCTTGACATAACCTGACACTGTGACCAACCTCATGCAAGAATGTGACTGTTCACGTTAAAAATCCCAACTGCGCAACCGACTAAAACAGCCTATTTAATCTGATTTTTTCTTACCGAAAGACGTAGTCATGAGCATCAATCTCCGCGCCCATTTTTGAGCCGTTCATGATGCCTGCAGTTCCCACCACAGCACAGTGCACACAGCCATCCCCACCTGGTTTTGGGAGAAGCAGTGGTTCTTTTGGCTTTGGGATGAGTTTCACTACAGGCATTACATCTGAAAAAAAAAATTTTTTAAATCTGTCAGATGATAAAATAAGGGAAGGAGATGAGCATTTGTTTGGGGGATTACCAAAATCTAGCTGTGAGATAAAGACTGATCCAAAAAACACACCAGAAGTGATTTTTAAATTAATAAGAAGCTATAATTAAGATGTTTAAACCTCTCCCAAATACCCTGAACCTGACTTAAAATGTTAAAATGTGTGTAAAAAGGCAGCAAACCAGTTTAAATAATCTAGTAATCTTGGGTAAATAGTGAGGTATGAGGGACTGTGGAAAAAACAGCATGATGCAACATGGGAAGGGAGGCTTAAAAAAATAAGTATTAGAGGGGAGGACTTTCGTTTCTCTTTGCCCCAATAGTGCTGCTTAAAAAAGGATATATATTTTTAAAATTGTAGATTTTTTTTTCAGTTCCTACATTAAGAGTGAGTAAACACTCTAAAAAAAAATTAACAAGTTTAAAGACAACGAGGGACACAGGTTTCTTAAATTAAGAAAGCATGAGTTACTCAGTTTAGGAAAATACCTACCGTCATACTTCATTTCCATAAAACCAAAAGGATTGTTAAAATGTGAGAGTCGGTTCCACTCTCTAATGTTAAAGTTGTTTTTGTGCATATACATGCGTATGTTGGGAAGGAAGGCTTTCTGGAATTCCTGATCCTTGGAGTTACGCAGAGACTGCGGACATGTCTGCACGGAAGATTAAATGAATTACAATAACCCAAGCATAGGTGATTCATAGAGGCAGGGCAAGTTTATTTATACAGTGCATTCCTGAAGGGGAAAAACATGAAATGATCAAAGCAATATGCAAGTTCCAGTCAAATTGCGATTAAGGTATTTCCAGGACATCTGTTATTTTGAAGTAAGAAAGCTATTTTCCCCCACTGCTACACTGAAAAGTCTATTTTATAGTTTTTAATAAGATAAGATAATATAAATAGGGCTAGGGAAGGCAAAGGGGCAAAAAAAAAAGGTATAATCTTTATTTCCAGGGGAATTCTACGTATTAATTAACAAATGACAGTACTTTAAACAATTTAAATATTAATTATAATGAAACAAAAGATTTGGAAATGTATACTTTGCTTTAAATTGTTGTTAAAAATACAAGCAAAAAAATTATCCATATTTATGATCAGAAGATAATCAGATCCAAATTATTTAAATCCTGGTAGATAATGATTTAAAGTAATTATATAATAGATTTCATGTTTTTACGTTTTTCAGTGGATTCCGAGCTCCATTCACACATTTGTGATGAATGTGAGGCAGGAGTTAATGTTAAGGGGATGGTAATGGGGTTTATCAAAATGAGAACTCATCAAAGAAAAGATAGAAACATGCAAAGTTTGTTCGGCACCCTTCAGTAAGGTTCGATTGTTGTAAAGGTTTTTCAGTTGATTTATGTGAAAGGTGTAACTAAATTAATAATTTTCACAATTCCATTGATCAAAATGTAAGTAAAAAAAAGATTAAAAAATTTTAATGTGGAATTTATGGTGACAATATTAATAAAACATTTTTTTTTTACCATACTTAGAATCCTTTTACATTCTTATCTTCTAAAAACCATCTTTTTAATTTCCAATTCAGAAGCAAACTTCTTAGTTTAATGATATAAAAATCCACCAGTGGTCTAAAGCATTATATATATAAATTATATTTGTGCATGTAGTTGGGAAATAGTACAACATCTTTTTAGGCAGCTAATTTCTTTCAATTAGTTCCCATCAAAACATTGTTTTACGGTAAGACTTTGTTTTTTCTCTAGTATACTATAAAAAAAAAACTTAGTTGGATAGATTCTGAATCAAATAATTTTCTAAGGCAGGTCTGAATTTATAAAAGCTTTTTTTCTATATCCACAAAAGTAAAGGCAGCTTTTTAGTGCTTTTTTAAAAGGCAGGACTATGTTAACGCTTGACGAACACAAAGGCTCCAGACCTGTAAAACTTGTTATTGATTATTGGACACTAAAACCTTTCCTCTATGAATTTGAAATGTTAACAACAAAGACAAACCAAGGAGGATTGTTAGTTTCATGAAATATAAAATTTCTGATATCCGATAATGACTAATGCACATAGTGAACTTTAGTTCATCTAAATACACTGATTCACAGTGATATCCGGATTGAGGATCTAGCTCGGATAACAGCTCAGCACACAAGGTAGGCAAATATTTATTCAATCCACCCGAAAGACAATCCCGGTAAAAAAATAGCCTTTTCTTTCATCTAAACCCAAAAGGAACTGCCAACATCTGCAAACTAAACAGATATATAGATATATATATATGTTTTTGTCTTTTTATCATGTCTCAGTAGGCTTACCATCGGTCTTGGGGGAGCATCCAAGTTGTAAATATCTTCAAAGCTCCACTGAGGAAGCTTCTTGAATCTTTTTTTCAATAAAATGGGTATTGGAGTCTCAGAAGGAGCTGAAGTCACTGAAACGTTCCTTTGAGATGTGTCTGCTGTTGGACTTAACTCTTCCTTGTTTTGCAATAAATCGCCAATTTTCAACAAGTTGTATTCTCCACTGGCTCTGTTTCTTTCTGAGATGGCCGTCCAGGTAGAGTCGAAGCTTAAGGACATTTAAACCGAAATTATTTACAAAGATCCATCATGTAAGTTGGAAACAAAAGATTATGTCCAACAGTATTAATTTATAAGTAAATACATATACAATTCACATCAATAAAAAGGTACTTACTCTTTTTTTATGGTCAGATTTTCCAGTGCAAGCAGAAAAAAAATAATGGTGGCTGTTAACACCAGCACCAAAGAAATAAATTTAGTTGATCGACCAATCATGGCTAAAAAGTGGAGGTTTTGCTGCTCAGCTAAACAGCAATTTAGAATCAGCTCTCTAAGGGTGCTGTTTAAAGGAAGTCTTTTTTAAAAGTGACATTTCAGGGAGCAGGAAAGAAATATACTTATGTCATAGCATCAGGTTAGTCAAACCAGAAGGGTGAGAAAAGTCAGGAGTCAATGCTAGTTCATTCCACTTAACCACCCTATTGACCACCCCATTGAAATACAAGATACAGGGCATGGCCAAAGAAGGGTGTTGTGACCAAAGGCCACTAAGAGACAAACATTGTAAAAACTTTGCCTGCAAGCATATCGTTTTAATATACCATAAAGAGAAACATTTGAAAGGAAGAAACAATGACCTTCTGATATCAGTTCTGCAATGCCATCTAGTGTGGACTTGTTTTTATGACAGCGTGGAAACTTTAATCCAGGGATGTCAAACTGGTTCCAGAAAGGGCCGTGTGGCTGCAGGTTTTCTTTCCAACCAAGCAATAGCACGCATGACTGCATTCATCACATCAAGTGAGTCCAGTCTTAACATGATGACTTGATGAGATGAATGGAATCTGGTGTGCCATAGCTTGGTTGGAAAGAAAACCTGCAGCCACATGGCCCTTTCTGGAACCAGTTTGACACCTGTGCTTTAATCTGTTTTCATGTCATGGGGACCCATGTTCTTATGGGGACCAGATCCTGGTCCCCATATTGTAAAGCTATTTTCTTTAAGCCAGGGTTAGGTTTAGGACTGAGGTGTAAATTCAGTTCAGGTAAATGTTAGGGTTAGGTATATCTTGGTAATAGTTAGGATAAGGGTCTGGGCTAGGCCATATAAAATGAATTAAAGTCAATGAAATCTCCCCATATGTCATGAAACAAGAATATGTTTGTGTTTGCTATGAAAAAATATACAAGTTCTGTTTGGATAGTTGGTATAGCTAAATGCAGACTTATACAAAAAGATGGATTTACAGCTTACATACAGGATAAGTCCTGCAATTCATCAGCAGTCTTTCTAACTTTGCTTTTTTAGTCATCTAATTCCAATCCTAAAACAAAACAGCTTAAAAAAGTAAAAAAAGTATTCATTCTTTCAGAAAAGATGTTATCACATCCCTTACACTTTTATTCTTGCATTTCCAGTTTTCAGTAAAAGAAAAATATTTACTCATAGTCATAAGGCATTAGATTACATACTATCTCAGCTGATTGTTGCTCCCTCTGGAGGATGGGTGTGGATTTATTTCACTCTTTTTACTTTTTTTACTCCAAAAAACATGGAAATTTACTCAGCTTTATTGACAGCTATTTAATGGGTAATATACAGACAAGCATTACTCTGTAAGACCAGGTAATTGTCTCTTATATCACCCTTGGCACCAAAAGCAACCCACATGCTTTTTAAATAACAGCAATATGTTTTTTATGTTGAGGTGGAGGAAATTTTATAATAGGATATTGAGGTGTGTTGGTGAAATGGCCATCTGGTGTGGCGTTTTTTTTTTTTTTTTTCTAATTCCCAACCTTTGGACTTTGGTTGCCTGAGGCATATTCCTCTGTCTTCTGCTTGTTTTCTAACTGTGGAAGATTATTTACCCATCCATGGAGCTATTATTTGTATCTTTAGAGAATCGCTGGTGCCTGTTTCCAGCTGCCTTGGTAAGAATTAGACAGGCTAATACTCCATCAGGGCCACAGAAATCAATAGTAAATTTCTAAAATTTAGTAAAGTGAAAGACCGAACTTTGAATAGGTTCATTTATATCTCAATCTGCAAGAGATTTAACCCGTAAGCTCTACCTTACCAGTAGCAGAGAGCTTGTTGGAAGTGGTGGAAGTTTTACAGTGGTTGTACAGACTGAGACTGCTACTTTATCAATCTCTTTCCTAGTTTTTTCCAGGCTAGCAGGGGGTATTTCCATTCTGTTTGAATGGATTCTATGTCAAAGCCAGCTTGCAGGGATTTGCATAGGTTTAGAACGAATGTGGAGTTTAGCTCAAACTGCTTAAATGGTGACAACAGCCCATCCTGGGTTAGCCTCAAAGTTGTGCTGTGTGACTGCTGATGGGCTGTGTTTGTAGCCATGTGACATGTCTGTCACAGTCTTGGTTCTGTTATGTTTTTTTTTGAGTATTCAGTTTAACTTTGCTCCATGTTTTCTAGTTTTATTGGTTTAATTCTTATTTTGTTGTGTTTTCTGATTATATCTCAGGTTTTTATTTGTTGCATGCTTGTGTTGGTCTCCTTTTTCCATAGCCCCTTAAACTGCTCTCTTCACACCTGCTCCCAATCTGCTCGTTAGTCCTCTCTTTGTTCAGTTAGCCATAAATACTCTCCTTGTACAGTTCGTCGGTGCTGGTCCTCGTCTAACTCCGTCTTACCTCGTTGTGACTGTTTTCCCCTGAAATCTCCATGGTTATAGTTCGTTTTTCTTGTTGGGTTTTTAGATCCCTGCCTCTGTTTTTTATAAACCACTCATTAAATCTACAAGAAACTTACCTCTGCCTCCCTGCCTCTGCATTTGGGTCCTCAAACCACAACCAAACCCTGACAATGTCAACTGCACATAACAAGATAGAAAAGTACAAAAAAAACAACAAAAAACAGAACAGAACAGAACTCCCATAAAGTGTTGCTGCATTTTTTTTTACTTTCTACTACATCTAGATAATTTGCTTGTTTTCTTTTTTTTCAATAATTGGTACCAAAGAGAATTTAGTTGAATCTGAATCATGCACTGTTTTTTTTTTTTTTTTTTTTTTATGAGGATTTGGATGTAAATTATACCTACGACTCCTCTCTACAGAATATTTGACTCAGATAAAAAAAAAAAAACACATAAAGACAGAGTAGATTTTATACATTATATTAAAAGTGCTTTTTTTTGCTGCTGAATTAACACCAAAAAAAGCAAACAGATTTGACAATTTGACTATTTTTGCAAATCATGAATTAAATAATGACTTCAGAATAATACATAGATAAACATAGAAAATAATCTTCATTTCAGCAGCTTTAGCTTTAGAAATATTTGTGCCACTTGTAAAGATTTTAAGTCTCTGTTAGCTGCAAAATAAGCCTAAAGTAAGGACAGTTGTAACAACAATAATGCCCATAATATTTTGTCTAGATGATAAAACAGTTCTCCTATATTCGTCATGTTCAACCTGCCAGCTTTGATTAATCACAGATCCTTTTGCTTTTCCATTATGTCCAAAAAATTAAAAACAATCCTCTGGACTTTGTTTCCGAGTTTGATTTTTTTGGAATGACTATGACTTGGATGACTGAGAACCTCCACCACCATTTTCCATTACTTGTTATCCAGTTCTTTGATACAGCTTCATTATTTTCTTATCATGAAAGCTCTTCCACAGATTCTTCTCTAAAATGAGGTCGTGGTTAATATAGAAAATTACTTCGCTCCTCAGATGCTTTTCAACGTAGTAGCTCGAGTATTTGTTGTAGTCGTCAGTCATGAATCCATAGGCACTCACCTGTAAAAAAGAGTGAAAAAGTAGAGTTTTAACATTTTAGGTTAAAAAAAACCATGTGCATAAAGGATTCTGCTTTATTTAGCCTGTTTTAGACCTTTAAAAGCTTCTTTATATTATTGATCAAAATAAAGGCACCTTAAACCTGAGATTTCTTTTAGCGGTCCAGTTTGACAAGTAGAAAAGGCATTCTTTAGAAAAAAAAAGAAGGCTGAATCCATTTTTTGTTGTTTACTAAAAGCTGCAGAAAATACTACAATACAGGAGGTAATTGTAAAAAAAAATTAAACTTTTGGAAGTATGAGTGTAGATGATTGACCTAAAGATCAAAATCCATCATAAACAGACTTTTTAATTTTGAAATCTAGATATAGATGTAAGTGCAATAGTCATATTCAAAACAATTGTAAAAAAAAATCCAGTTAATTTATTTCATCACCTCAAACTGCTAGATTAATAATATGAAGATTGATGTGCTTCGGTCTATATATGTGTTATATATTAAGGTTTAGCTTATGGCTATTTAAAACAAAACATTTCATATTGGAATATTACATCAGACTGATAGAAACAATTTTTAAAAACATAAATATGGACTTATTAAAGTAGGTCTACTGCATGCTTAAAGTTTTTTTTTTTGTTTGTTTGTTTTTCTGCATAAACCACAAAGTCCATTCAGGACTTAATAAGGCACAACTCGAAGGCTGATGCCCAATTTTTTCAGGAATACTTTTCAAAATAAAAACATCTGAAACACGAGGAGTGGATTTCTTTTTCAGATCTATTAGCCTGTCTTTTTAGATGTGTCTCAATCCTTTTCTGCATCTCTAACCTGAAAGATTTGCTTGTTCCTCTTTGCAGAATATTTCAACCTAGACAGATGGAGAGAAACTGTGAACTCTGTGATTCTTTTACACAGACTTTGACTATACCATTCCAACACATGAGCCTGCTTAAATTCAAACCATTCAATTTTAACTTTGGTAGTAAACATTTTAATGGCTAAAAACCAACATCAAGACAAACATTTGTCCCATTCTAAAAATTTTTTAAGTTGTAATAGTCTTTTCTTTAGAGGCTTGTACTCCATACATTTCCGAATCATTTTTTAGCAGCTCTGTTTTCCTTACAGCAAGGTTCTGCTAAACCTTTCTTTAGGCGTATGTGATTTGTTCTTTTCCAAACACTTGTTGGTCAAAAGTAATTTTTGTATTGGATTAAAGTCTTAAGGATAACAAGAGGACCAAATCTGTTTGTGGTTGAAAGGCACTGCCTCGTTTACTATCCTTCATATTTATGACGCTGAGCTAAGATAAACAGGAAACTGTTATCAGTAATGTAATATAATAGACTGGTGAAGCTGCACTTACTGTGTCGCAAGTGTGCAGAGCCAGAAAGAGAGTGAATGCCCCGTTGGTTGGTCGTACAAGCGCCCAGTGTTCTCCGTTGAGATTACTTGAGTTTAAAAACCTTTAGGCCGCAAAAAAGCAGAGGATGGGTAGTAACAGTTATAGTTACATTTACTCATGCAATATTTAAAAAAAAAACAACCTTTGGGAGTAGCTTTACAGCTTTGTACTTTCCAATCTTACTTGACTAAAATTTCGGCCTACTTCATCCATTGTGAGTAACTTCACTTAATGAAAACACAGGTTATTAAAGGCTTTTTTCCATCTGCTGAGTCTGCTGTGTTATTTGGGTCAAATGTTACACAGTGTTGCTTTAGAGGTTTTAATTAAAATTTATTCAGGGTGTTTTTTCTGTTTTTAGACAATAAGGTTTTGTATCTTATTTTCAATACAATGTGAGGAACTGGATAGGCCTGGGATCAAAGACTGACCTGTTTCGAACATATCGCAAAAAATCCTGGTGTAGAACATAGAAGTGGCTCTCATTGAACTGTCCCGAATAATAACCTCTGGGTCTGGATGGAGAAAGCAAGACATGTGTTGTTTTGGTAGAGAGATACATACTCTTAGCAAGTAAACAAAAATACACATATCTTCCATGTAATGTAATTCACTGCATCTTTTTTTAAATATCAGACATACTCGAAGATTTAAGCTTATTGTCG